GTTTGTAGCACCTCTTATAAGAATCGCCAAAAAATAAAAGTCGATTTTTTAGCCCACAGGTCTCTTTTAATTTCTCCTGCCACATATACTTTTTCAATCGCCCATACCTTTAGGAAACCACGAATATAAAAATATATAACTATCATTAAATGTTTGAACCCTGTCTCGAGACCAATCATGTGGTTATTTTTGCATACAAACTCATTCGGCTAAAAGAGCCTACTTTGTATTTAATTCTCGATCTAAACAAATCTAAGGTATGGAAACTAGTTTGGCCATAAGTACCACCTTTATAATCAGCAGTGTGTCGGATTAACCAGCACGTTTCAGTCAATGTCCGATCTTATGAGTCTGTTACTTATTATAGTTCGCAAAAACAGAAAAAAAAATTTAAGAAGTTCGCAAATTACTTTTTTTTATCCTAGTAATTATAATACCTACTTGTATTTTTAACAATCAAAGATTATGCTTAGATGTTCAAATAAGGGTTGTTGAACTCTGCCAATGTTGAACACATGCTGGTTTGCCTGCTGAAAGCATACATACATACATACATATGTGTGTATTAACATAAACTAAACGTAAAACGATTAGATTAGGTGTTTCTTTTTGCAAGAAATAGAATATCTTTCGATATATAGCCTTGCCTTAATATAGAAAGGCCCTAACTCATTTTCTTTTCAAATCCAGCTTTGCCAAAAGGTCGGCAGGCTATTGACTAACAATCTTATAGAATTTGAAAAATAACTATAGCAGTATTAAACTAGATCCAGCCTTCAATAAAAAAAACAGTATTTTATTAGAATTCGCAACTAAAGAACTTTACTTTTTATAAAATTAAAAAATTACTTTGCGGAGAAATGAAAATGTTATATAGGGCCTTTCTATATTAAGGTAACAATTAGTACCCCAAGAAACAAAAAAAAAAACTAACTAACGGTTCTCTCATTGAGTCAACTACCGTCCGCTTGATAAGCATGAGACGTCAGTATATGAAATCACAGCGTTTTTTCTCAATCAAATTACTTAATACTGTGTCGTAAATTTGATGAGCACAAGAGCTTTGAGTTAATGCCTTGAGTAATTTACAGTTTTGTGGTCAAATGTTGCTATCTGCTTTAAACAGTCGTTGTTGTGGTTTTAGTGCACATTTTGTACGAGTTAAATATATTCGATTACTAAATGAAAACGATATTTGAGAATATTATTGCCGCAATGCAAAGAATGGCCATTTAGGTACTTAGTATCATAACTAAAGATAACGTTTTAATTTCTATGTCACATAGTAAATATTGAAACGAATTAGGAAGATTTCTGAAGTTCAATTTTAATCCCCTTCAATAAAGCGTTGGCATAGTAATTTACTATGACCATTCATGAACGCCTCCGGTTATTAACTTTCTTGTTTCTGCGTTCCTAAATAACTATAAAAGTAATATATGTACATATGTACATTTGTATCTACAGTTGTCTAGTTTTCGTAAGCCATTGCCTATCATAACATTTCGCAGTACTTTTTCTATTAACATCTTATCAGTGATTTACTTTTCCAAATTTTAAGAGCCCGACAATCAATGTTGAATGCGTAAACTTAATCACTTTTGTTGTTAAAAGCCAAATAAATAAGCCAGGCTTACGCATTTCAGTCAATTGTCAGTCACTTTTAGAAGTTCGATGTAAGCTAAACATTTGAAAGCATGCATGCGTAGTTGGCAGTGGCTGAGCGTGCAGAGGAGTGTGCCGCTATTTGTTAGGTTCCAGAAGGTGCCGAATTCCGTCAGGCACTTCCTAATTTTATTTTATTTCTTTTGAACCATGAAAAAATATCTGTGAAGTGCAGAAGGAAAGCGTATTGAGCGAAAAATTCAATCAGACAAATTTCAGAAAAAAACAGCCGAAAACGTATCCGCTTCACATACTGTTGTCTGTACAAACGTTTCTGTCGCACACTTTAGTGGAAAAACGGATCGTCAAAATATGCTAAAATGGAATTTGTAAACGGACAAAAATCCGCACTTCATCCACTTTTACTGTACTTTTTCGGATCGGTTTTCAGATTTTTCGCTGGCTGGGTAGGTATGTGTAAGTATGCATACATGAGTAGATATTAGGGTGGCCCTAAAAAGTTTGTATGAGGCACCCGTTTATTTTTTAACGGTCGCTACCAGAGTTTAAAGAAATTTTATTTTATTTTTAAATCGCAAAAATTCTTCCATAATTGACTGTTAAATTTGACATATTATGGAAACTTATTCATATAGATTCACAAACTCGCCGAGTTATAGCTAGTCAAAGCCAAAAATTTGTCGAATTTGTTCGATTACAAAATTAAATTTTTTCGATAAAAAAAATTAAGTATTTTTAGGGCCCTTGTAGCGGCTACTAAAATTTTTTTTTACTTTTGAATTTTCGTGCAAAGGGTACCCAATGAAGTTGATATTTTAAGGACTACCCAAATAGTTTCATCTAACGTACATATGTACATGCACTTTCTGGTTCTCCTTCACTGACCCAACACAACTTTTGAAAATATGCCTGAAGGAAAACAACATACGTGCACAAATATTAAGAGAAAGCGATTAATTATTACGAGGGCTGCTCCGCAAATGTTGCATCAATAAAAAAAATATAGTTTAAAAAATTAAAATCTCCCTATTATAATTTCCATTCGTAATGTCATCAGGTATGTAACTTGAGAATAGAAATCGCTGCATCTTTTAGGCGCATCAATATTACATAGTTACATCCCGAGCTAATAAAGGGGAGGTAAAAAAAAAATTGTTTATCATGAAATTTGATTGATTTAACAAGCATTTGTGATTTTTTTATGAGCACGAATTTAAAATGCTCAATGGCTGTCAAGTTGGCAACGAAATGTAACTTTTATATCTCGTGCTGCTTATTCACAATCTGCCGGTTATAGCAAAGCTTGCACCATCGAACAGTTCCATAAGTAACGTAACTATTCTTCTTACCGTTTTGTCTGTCAGGCTGTAGGTGTATTTTTGGTTAGTGTATTGGTGTTTTTGGTTCAGTGTGTAAATGTATTTTGAATAAATTGTAATAGAAATGAAGGAAATTGTAAAAGATAACAGCAAATGCCAAAAAAACAGGTCATCTCAGGTATAGAAATTTTTTGGCAATCAGCTGAGATTGATAGACAGGTTGTTTTATCAATCTTGCCAAAAAACAAACAATCAGCTGTTCAGCACAAAATGTAAACAAACAAGCAAATTCAACAACAATTTCAAGGAACAAGCAACAGTGTTGCCACTTGTTCGGCATACTAAAATAAAGTTGATCTGAAACCCAGCGAAAGCTAAATGGCAATCCAAAATTTAACTTAAATGCCGTTTAAATATTCATCTGAAATTGATCCTTACTTTTTACAGTACAGTTTAAGGAAGTTCCAACGTTATGTAAAAACCTTAAGAAAATCCTACAGTATTTTGTTTGAGTTAAAAATTCAGTACAAATCAGTACAAATTTTGAAAAAATCAGGACATTAGCGTACCGATTTAAGCAATGAATAAAAAATACAAGTGTTAAAAAATCATTACGTCTGGCAACTGTACTCAGGAGCTAACTGGCATGTGGATGAAATCTTTTAGCTGAAGGGGGTAAGCTTACAATAATTCACATAGAGCTGAAAATTGGTACGAATGTTGTGAACACCATTATGAATGAAATTTCAAAAGTCCCTATCGATCCCACCTCTAAAAAATATTTACTCAAGGTCAAAGGTCACTTAACTGGTCAATTCCCAGTGTCACCTGTAGGTGACACCTTTTAAAAACTTTTTTTTCAGCTTAAGGAAAAAGTTTAGGAGTACCGTTAGTTTTTTTATGATCCAATGATCGGATCTAAACCAGATTAGTATGGGACCACCTCTGGGACACTACGGGGCTGTTCGAGGCACGTAATGAAAGCAGCAACACTGTAGAGCTGATGAAAATTTGCAAGACTGTTGCAACTTCCTAATTGATAAGACGTTGCTATGTAGAAATTCACAGCGAACGTGATGCTTTAATAATTCGCTCAACACTGCGGTTGTTATTGCAACTCGAACATGCCCTACCTTTCCGATGCAAAACTTCGAAATCGGCTGACGTGGTCCAAAGTTATGCGGTAACATACATAAAAAATAAAATTACAATAAAAAATATATATAAAAAATATATAAAAATATTCCGACGAATTGATAACTTCCTCCTTTTTTGAAAATCGGTTAAAAATAGTCAAATGTTGCATCCCTTTTATTTTAACCATAGGTATACTTGTACATACGAAGTTAAGGAGAGTTTCAACATTAACAGCAGTTCGAAATTCTGAGTATGCTGTTTTTGTCTACTCGACTAAGCTCACGACTTATCCAAATCTTAAGTTTATGAAAAGAAATCGGCGATTCGCCATCTTGTTGCGATTGAGGATTGTTGCCTATTTTTCATGTTTTGTATGGTACCGTTACTTTAATTCAAAAAACACACATCGCCGCTGAAATACAAAAACCGTAACTAACTAAAATTCCAGAATTTACGTTTTGATTGATTATGATGCATTTCATCAAATTATAAGTCCACGCATCGTTTTATGCAATAAACAATTTTAGTTATCTCGTTACAGCTTTTTTACACTTCAGCGATGATGTGGGATAGGGTCTTTCTATATTAAGATAACGATATGTATGTATGTGTATCGGATAAATTCACTGACAATGACGAGAGGGCCTTTCTTTTCATCAAAATTAATCCATGTCTGTCTGAACAGATATTTTCAAGAGAAGTTGCCAAATTACTGATAACGTTTTGCGATAATATACATATGTATGTACATAGCCGCACGTAAAAACGCAGTATATGTATTATGTACTGCGCGCATTATTTTTTTTTTTTTTAGGTTCATGTAAACACTCATTTTAACGCACGACATTCGAGTTTTTTCAATAACATTTAAATTTGACATGCTTATTTTAATAAAAACTTCCTTCTTTTCGATTGCAGATTTTGAATCTTCAGTAAATTTTGAATAGTGTGCAAATTATCTATAGATAATATTGAATTTTTTACAAAATTTGAAGTCAATACATAGCCTATACAACAAGGCATTGATGCACAGCATGACCAAAGAATAAGATACGGCTATCAACAAAGATCAACTGTGACAACTTTAACTATTTGCAGTTTGGCAAACTTTGAATGTGATAATTGCTTCATAGAACTTTAGAAACTAAGAGCATACATATATTACTCGTACTAGTTTAAGAGATTCCCAGCTAAAATGAACAGCACCGGCTATTACTTCGACGAACAACTTGTCCAAATTTACACTCATTTAGTGCACAACTATGTGCCAGACTTTATACTAACGATGGGAAAGGACTTCGAGTATACGCCGTGGATATTTTCATTATTGGGGTCCGTCGTTATAGGTTTAAGTGGAATATTACCTTTACTCATAATACCTACAGGCGAAAAGCTCAAGGAAGGCGGTTATAAAGATCGTGAGTAAATTGAGAAAGCGCCTTACATATTGCCACTTAACTAAGAACTTGCATACATCATACATACATACATATCGCTAACTTAGAGTGAAAAGCTTTTATGAAAACCCATATTTTGATATACGAAGCAAGGGATATTAAAAATGCATCGTTTCGAAAAGGATTAAGGTAGTTGTTTTATGTGTTTCTTGTTTAAATCCATTAAAAAGCAACTTTGCTAAGTCCGAAAGAGGTACCGAAAAACCAAAATAATACGAAATCTTTTAATAACGAGAGAATCCTTATTCGTATGGAAGTTTTGCTTTGCTTTAAATTTGCGAAATTCTTGAATGGAATGGCGGTAAAAAGTTTTTTTCCTCTCCTGTAAAATTGAAAAAAATTAACTTAGCTGATTTGCGCTCTAAGTTAGCGATATGTGTGTGCATGTCCACAGATAGAAAGATAAGTGTTTAATTTTAAAAAACTTCTGCTTGGATCATTATCAAACTTACTACTTTTGCAGCTGCCGAATCCAAATTCCTTAAGGTGCTGCTAAGTTTTGCTGTCGGCGGCCTTTTAGGTGATGTTTTCCTGCATCTGTTGCCTGAAGCTTGGGAAGGCGAACAACAAAGTAGGCAAATATAATCTACTTTTAAGATAATTTATATATTTGGTTAGTATTTTAATTAATTTTCACTTACCTACCTATCATAATTTCAGCTCCCACTGAGCATCCTTCATTGCGCTCAGGGCTTTGGGTTTTATCGGGAATACTTATTTTTACCATTGTTGAGAAAATATTCTCTGGTTACACCAATGCGGATGAGGAAAATCCACAGCCGAAGTGTGTAGAAATCGCAAATTGTTTACTTCGCAAAACGGGTGGAAAGATACCAGAGGGTAAAACTAGCTCTGAGGGCTGTGCGAGATCATGCGACATCGAAGAAGTACCTAATGGTTGTTTCCTGCGCGAGCGCGAACAAAAACAAAAAGAACAACCAAAGAAAGTAGCAGGCTACTTAAATTTAATGGCCAACTCCATTGATAATTTCACACATGGATTGGCAGTTGCGGGTTCATTTTTGGTATCTTTTCGACATGGTGTACTGGCAACATTTGCGATTTTATGTAAGTCAGAATTCTACATAGAAGATTTTTTATTGTTCCTACTCTTGTAATTATTAACGTTTAATTTCTATAGTACATGAGATACCACATGAAGTTGGTGATTTCGCTATTCTCTTGCGTTCCGGTTTTAGTCGGTGGGATGCTGCCCGCGCTCAACTATTGACCGCTAGCGCCGGTCTTATGGGCGCCTTAGTGGCAATTGGTGGGTCGGGGGTGACATCGGCAATGGGTAAGCACGACTCTGTTTTTCATTGTCGTTCTTTAATAGAAAATTTGAAATTTCAGAGGCACGCACATCGTGGATTACGCCTTTCACGGCTGGAGGATTTCTACATATATCACTGGTTACTGTTCTGCCAGATCTGTTGAAAGAGGAAGGGAAGATGGAATCCATGAAACAATTGCTAGCGCTAATTTTTGGTATTTTGCTAATGGCTTTCATGACGGCATTTTTTGAATCATGAAGACATTGCGTATTGAGATTTTTTTTATGTACATATATATACAAATTATGAAACGTCTACGAACTGGTGCTTACAATAGTTTGTATGGAAGTATTTATGTAGTAAGCAAAGATACAAGTAATGTATGTAATTGCAAAACGCCAAGGCAAAAGTACAAAAACCAACCGCTTGTCGAACAATTGGCATTATGTGACATTTGTGAGAAATCTATTACAGATAAATAAACACAAGAAATAAGCGATTAAGCACGTTCAGTAGTTGCCAAATTTGGACAAATCTGATTTGAATTATTAACACAGAAGCAAAATTATTATGTACAGAAATGGTATTAAAAAGTTATAAAAAAATTTAATATTTAATTTTTCTTTTATATTAGTATGTATTTTTCTAAGGTTTCGCCATATATTTTTAGTTACATACTACATCAGTTAATGCAAAATATTATGAAAAAAGCATTTTCTGTTGTTCAACCTACAGTGGTTTAGTTAACGACCCACACTTTTATATTAGAGAGTTTTATATTTTAAATTATGTATGTTTAGTTTTCTAAATTCTTGCTGCATTACCAACACAGAAGTAGTGGAATTATATTTAGCTTTTATTCATGTAAATAAATATCCAATATATGTATTTGTGATACGCATAAAAAGTTCTATAAGAATGTGGAATTAAAAAAATAAGACATAACATTTCAAGGCAGAATACTGCAGTGTAAAATAGTATGTATGGTGCATGAAGCAATCTTTCTCGCTCTTGTTACTTTTCACCTGATATAATTCCAAAGTGAATTGTATGTACATATATAAATAAAATACAAAAGCTTGTATTTTGTTCTTAAAATGTATTAAACAATTTCCACAAATCTTAAAAGTTAGGTTTACAGTTTTAAATATTTTCCAGAATAAATAAAAAATATGAAGTTATTGAAATGATCATAAAAGCTCTTTAGATAACAAGAAATTCATTATAACTCAAGAAAGTAGAAATAGGACATAGTAAGTATGTTATCCTCCCACCTTAAAAAAAAAAACAACGAAACCCAGTATCTGAAAAATGTAACTCCTATTTTATAACAATATTGAATTGGAAAAACTCGAAAGATAAAGCGGCTAAAGTATTTACCAGATTAATTTAAAATTGAAGAAACACAAAGAAAAATTAAATCAGAGATAACCTTTTAATCAATTACATTTTCTTCCTTCTAAATTTACCTTTATATGTTCCTCATCTTCTTCCGTTTGCACTACCTTTGCTTTCTTACAAGGATTAGACATTTTCTCTAACCTTTTCCTTAAATTCTCTGCTTTAACAAAATTTAAATCGATGGGCTTGTCTTCTCTGTTTTTGTTTAAATAATTTGTTCTATAATCCTTGACAACTTGAGGGTTTATTTTTGCATTAATCTTATTAAAGAAAACATTATAAGGTATGACTCCAGTAGTGGAATGAATTATATTATGGTTATATGTGAAAATACCTTGTTCTATTCCAAAATATTTTACTTCCTTTTCATTCGAATTTAATCATTCTTAATTTTTCATTTAAAGTCTTATGTAATCGTTCGATATCTGCTATTCCGGGTTTACAAGTTATTATCTCGACAGCAATATTCAGTTGCTCACACCATTATTTTATATTAATATTATGTAATCCTTGATCTTGATCGATCTTTACTATGTTTGGTGGACCCATTAACAATTAACAACTTGTTCTATTCCTTGATGTAACCCTTCAAGATGAATTTCTATAACTTTTGTTTTAAATTCCGGAAATTTAAAAATATTTTCTAAGATTCGGGTTGCTCTCAAAAGTCTATTGTTTTTCGATCTAACTAAATTTATATTATTATTATTTAGAACATGGTTTTTTATGACATTTTTAATGAAATGTACCGTTATGTTATTAGGTGCAATCCCGTATTCCTCGGACTCGGACTAGTAAAACTGTCAAAAAATAAAAATTCACTCAGAGCGAGAGAGTAACATTGAAAAGTACGGGATCGCTTTCTAGTAAAAAATGGTAACTTCTGTCAACTTCAACATAACCTCCAAATTTTGGTTGTAAATTTTTGCTTATTTTGTATGTAAACACACTCAGCTCACACATGTAAATAACCAAACACACTTTCAAATTCATTAGAATCCAATTAAACAAGTAATTAAATACTTTACAACATGAATTAGCAGAGTGCACTTTTCTTTGGTTTACAATTTGGTTGCCAAACACACTACAGCTGATCGTTTGACACATTTACCGGTATTTACTCTCTTTTTTGTCCTCTCAATATTCAGAGAACCGAGTACGGGATCTATTTCCAGTAAAATCTGGGCTCGAATCGTAACATACGTTATCGTATTACTCGTCACGTAAAAACACATTTTTCGCATTATGACATACGTGAACGTACTTTTTGTCCCATTCAGCTTATACTGCCTGACGTATCACGTAATTTTCTTTCGTATCGTTTTCGATCCGTGAACGGATGTTACGATTCGAGCCCTGACTGATTCTGACTAGTCCGGACTCGTACGGGATCGCAACTACTACTAGACTTGCTCGAGAACGTAACTACACAACATTTACCTATATTGTTCGAACAGTTTAATGTACACTACAGCTGAAATACATCTAGATCGAGCTGAAGACGATTACTATCTGAGGGATGACGCACATCTGAAAAAAGGATCAGCGCCTATGAATTTGAAAATATTAATACTTAGCAATAGAGAAGCAGATCCACATTAACTTCAATCATATGTACCATCAGCTTGCGTGTGATATTGTGATACCTAGATATTTCATGTGCCTGATGAATTAAGTTAAACTTTATTTTTTTAAATACGTGGCAACGCTCCTAAATACAAACCCATTTCACTTGATATCCATATTTTAAATAATTGCTTTCACTTATTAAATAATTTGAGTTTACCTTTTAAACAGGTGGCAACCCTCGTTAATATTATAAACATTTAAACTAAGGACACCTTACCACCTTCGTTTCAGGTAATGTTGTAATACTTAATTCTCATTTTAAAACAGATGGCAACCCTATTCAAAATATTTTAACCCCGAAACCTGGTTAAACCTTTTTCAATTGACACACATATTGCGATGCATGTTTAAATTGTACATCTGATTCCCTTAACTCTAGTAGAATCTAATTTCTAAAACATATGGCAACCCTCTTAAATAAAATTTAAAAAAAAATTTTAACGAATGTCAATTTATACCCATACTTTAATAGTTCATTTGACTTCTTAAATAATTTGAGTTTAACTTTTTACACAGGTGGAAACTCTTTTTAATGTTATAAATGCTGAAACTAAATTTTTCTTAATAGTCCTTTCTTTGACGCCAATATTTCAATTGAATTTAATTAAAAAATCAGGCGGCAACTATCCTACATGAAGTTTGGAAATAAAGTTTCTTTAAAGCAATTTTTATTTAAATTCATATTGAAGTAATTTATTTAAGCAATAGCTTATATTGAATCTAACTTTGTAACAAGGTGGCAACCCTCTGCAAAATATTTTCAAAC